CTAGTCCCTGATTTTAGTGGGATTGATTCATGTTTCTCTCCATTTAGTTTGATGTTGGCTACTGGTTTGCTTTTTATTGCTTTATATTGATGGTTTTATATGGCTTTATGTTGATGGTCTTAGTGCAGAATTCTATTAGACCTTCAAGGAAGACCTAATACCAATTCTCTTTAAACAATTCCGCAAAATAGAAACAGAAGGAGTGCTACCCAATTCCTTCTATGAAGCCACAATTATGCTCATACCTAAACCACACAAATACACAACAAATAAAAAAAACCTTTAGACCAGTCTCCCTTATGAATATTAATGCAAAAATACTCAGTAAAATTCTCAGAAACCAAATCCAAGAACCCATCAAAGCAATCATCATGATCAAGTAGGCTTCATCCCAGGAATGCAAGGATTGCTTAATAAATAGAAATCTACCAACACAATCCACTATATAAATAAACTCAAAGGGGAAAAAAACACAGGATAATCTCACTAGATGCTGAGAAAGCATTTGACAAAATTCAACATCCCTTCATGGTAAAAGTCTTGGAAAGATCAGGAATTTAAGTTCCATACCTAACCGAGCTTTTAATAAAATGCTTTGTTCTCAGTTTGGTCTGACATGAGAGAAAGCTGCCCCATTTCTCATTTGATTTGAGAAGCATAAGGTGAACGTGACATTTGGAATGTCACTAGAAATATGGATTATTGTCACTCAGATGTAAAGGCTGTAGGAAGAAGTGTATACAAATTATTAATACTACTATGCAGCATAAAACACAACATGAAATATGTATATACATTAACATACTATAACATGAGATGAAAATTAAGTCACTAAAGCATTTTCTTAAAATCCAGCAAGTATTTCCTCTTTAAAATGTATATTTCTCATGATGGTCTCTTTACTATACATCTCTAGATACCCTACAATTCACTACATATACCATGTTGTCTTCAAAATCACAGAGATCTGCCTGCTCCTGTCTCCCTAATGATGTGATTAAAGGTTTTTGCCACAATCTGTTTCTATAATTCCTATTTTAATGACTGTGTTATAAAGAAATTTATGATGCATTCAGTAGAGGAAATGCATTCAAAACGATAAGCTTCAATCTGAAGAAATATGAAAGATTAACTATTGTCCAGTGAGATACAAAAATAGGTGGAAATACAAATTTATCTGAGGGATATAACCCTGGACGCATGTCATGAACAAGGGCCTGTGTTCTATGAACAACAACAACAAACAGTGAGAGGCAATGTGATGTCAGGTTGGTCTTAGACTGCATTTAAACAAGGGGAAATAAGACACATTTGGTTCTGGCTGCCACTGCTCAGTACTCAAATGGTATCTTCCCTTCTATGTTGAATTACCACATTTAAGATTGCAAAACTTCCAACCAGACATTATATCAGTGGCCATTTTATACAGATGCAGTTACTGCCTCCATAATCAAATCACAGATGTAGTGTCTCACGTGAAAACTTTTCAATCTACAAACAGATGCATTTCTTGTACTTCCCTGGATTGGGTGCTAATTATATTCCCATTTCAACATTTCCTATGGCCTAAGACCATGATCAGTTAAATGGTAATAATAATTTGTTAAGGTTAGTCACAAATTGTGTAAGGTAAGGTGAGTTGGCACATTGGCTTATTTTCACAATCCTTCAGCACCTCCCTGTGTTATGCACAGGTACAGTTAGAAGGGGAATTACATTCCAGTAAGAAATGGCAGGGACTGATACATGGTGAGGAACACTCCTACCTTTTCAATCATCTCTGAGTTATGGAATTATTGTTGTCCATCTCTGTCCATTTCATAAATCTCATTCTATATCAGTTTTATAATAGCAGACACGAACATTTACCTAGGCCTCTCTTCTTTCCTGGCTCTGATATTCAGGCCAAAATACAAAGTATTCACCTGACTCCTTGCCTGTGCAGGATGGTTGGTTCATTGAGCAGATTCAGATTCACTAATAAGCAGTTCTGTAAGTGTTAGATTGAGCCTGAGGTCTGTGACTCAGTGACCTTGCCTCCCTCCAGAACTGCAGTTTCCATTTCACTTACAGTAGCAATGGCAGCATTGGATTTCGGAGACAAGATTTTCTGTAAAATTTCCTACTTGTTAATATAAACACTTTTGAGAAATTTCTTGAGAATTTATCTAAAGGGATGATGTGTTTTTAGGACTGGTTGTGTTATTAAGATCTATAATGGCTGACCAGGTGTACTGTAGAAGTACTAGAAACTTGGAGATCAGATTCATGTGATAGTTAGGGAAATTTCTGTCCCATTGATTTGGATTCCAGTCTTCATTTACGCTTTCCAACACAAATCAATATTTTCAATTTTTAGATTCACAGTTTTTCTCAAGATGTTTGAGTGCTTCATACAGGCATATGTGTTTTACTCATCTATAAATGATTATTTCTTTAAATACCTTTCTTTTCTTAACCACTGACCACAATTCCCACCAAATTCCTTCTGCTCCTTAAACAAAACAAATAAAAATCTCTTAGTCTATTTAGAGGAGGTAGTATGTGCCTAGGGCAGAGGCATTGATGGAAATATGAAGATTCTCTAAAAGGTGGAAATCTTAAGGAAATATAATAGTTCCACTCAGAATCAGTCTGTGCCCATTAGCTCTTCAACTAGGAGTGGAACATTCTTACCTTCTCCACTTAGGTGGTATTTTTCTATGTTGATCTTTTACAGGTTTTGTGCACACAACAATAGCAAGTTTAAGTAACATGTGCAAGAGTTCTGTTCTCTCTGTTCAAAGCCTGTTTGCTAGAAGTCACCTACCTATATATATATATATATGTATATATATAACATTTTTCTTCCTCTTCTTTCATTATGGCCCTTTATTCTTGAAAGGAATAGTTTCGATAAAGATGTTCCATTTTAACTGTGTATTGCCTTGACTCTTATTCTGAGCACATTGAACAAATGTAGATCTTGTGTTAATCACCACAGAATGCCAAAAAGCTTCTCCAATGATAGCCAAGAAATGTGCCAATTCCTGATTATAATTATAGGAGAGAGAGAGAGAGAGAGAGAGAGAGAGAGAGAGAGAGAGAGAGAGAGAGATCAGTTTATTACTATTTTTTTTTAGCACAATAATAGTACTATTGTCTTCTATGAGTGATGAACCAGCTTGAATCATGTTAAGGTCTACAGTCATTTTGTTATAAGATCAAAATATGTTAATTTCTGTTTAAAGCTCATCTCTTTGTTTCCTAGTATATGATTTGTTCCATACCAGGACTCTGTCCTTCTGAAAAACTCCAATTTATGGTTTTACCCTATAAAAAGAGCCTAGAAGAGTAACTCATGGCTGTTCTCCTGAGTCCCATATTAGGGGAGATAGCTCTTATACCAGGGTTTCTGTTCATAAAATAATTTCTGGTTAATTCAGTACAAATATGTTTTGATGATCTTTACTCTTATTTATTGAGATTAAAACAAAGTGTATGTATGATGTCTCAAAAAAAAAAAAGAAAACATATGTACCTTCTAGTGAATCAAGCCTTTAAAAAGATAAATTTATTTTATTTATTTATATTACAAGTGTTGTCCCCCCCTCCCAGAGTTCTTATCCCCAGTACTCATCCCCTTTGCCTCTGAAAAGCTGTTCACTTACACACCCACTCTCACCATATCCCCCAGGGTATCTCCCTTCCTTGAGGCACCAAATATCTATAAGTATTAGGAACATTTTCTCCCACTGAATCCTGACAAGGGAGTTGTCTGCTACATATGTGCTTGGAGCCATTGACCAGCCCAGGTATGCTCCTTGGTTGGTGACTTAGTCTCTGGGAAGTTCCAGGGGGGTCCGCATTAACTGACAGCTTTGGTCTTCCTATGAGTTGCTATTCCCTTCAGTTCTTTCACTCTTTCCCCTAACTCTTTCATAAGGGTCCTGACTTTAGTCCAATGGTTGGCTGTAAGTATCTGCATCTGTCCTAGTCAGCTGCTGGTCTAGATGTTCAGAGAACAGCCATGCCAGTCTCCTGTCTGCAAGCACAAAATATCATCAATAGTAGTGTCAGGTTTTGGTGCCTACCCATGGGATATATCCCAAGTTGTGCAGGTCACTGGTCAGCTCTTTCTTCAGTCTCTGTTCCATAATTGTCAGTACATTTCTTTTAGACAGGAACAATTCTGGGACAAAAGTTTTGAAGGTAGTTTGGTAATCCCATCCCGGTCTGTCTACTGGAGTCAGTCTCTCATTACTTTTGCTGGCAAACTTATGGAAGTTGAAAATTTAATCCTGAGTGAGTTAACCAAGATCCAAATGGATATGCATGGTATGTACTCACTGACACGTGGATATTATCCAAAATGTACAGAATACCCATGATAGAACCCACAGACTGTAAGAAGTTCAATAAGATTGGAGATCTAAGTGAGAATTTTCTAATCCCACTTAGAAGACAAAAGAAATTAATTATGGGTAGCAGAGAAAGGATGGAACACAGATGAGAGAGGGGAGGGGAAAGGAGTGCAGGATCACATTTGTAGGGGAAACAGGAGTGAATATTTAATTTTCTACGTTCCAAAATTGGAATAACACATTCATTATATTTTGACAAAAACTTAGCAAAGTGGAATTAATTAATTCTACGTTTTTCAGTTGTAAAAGAGTTCTACAAGTAGGGTTTTGCTCTCTGGAAAGAAATTCAATGACACAACAAAACAAAATGAAAATGTTTTGTTGCAGAGCATGTATTTGCATGTGCCCTGGTTATTTTCTGTTTGTATATTCAGTAACATTTGGAGTCACTGGCTCCAAGAATATTCAAAATCAACCAGAGTTCCCATTTTCACCATCTCTTTTTCTTCCTTAGAATTGATCCCTCTGCTCCAGCTCCTTGGATTTCCTTTGTGTCCTAACAACCCAGGAGAACAGAATGTAAAAAAACATTACAGCCTATGACTAGGCAGTTTAAACACAGTTGAAAGTTTCTTAAAGTTTGTGATGGGGTAAAGAATGATGTCAACTCCCTCATTGGGCAGAGTCATTGATACCTCCTGTGAAATCATCTTGACCTCAGAGGAGATGAGTTCTCAGTATATCATCATGTCATCCCATTTGGGTGAGCACAGGAAAATAAGGTGTCTGGCTCACAGACCACTAATGTCCCATTCAGCATCTGCTATCACAGAGACATTACTTTCCATGGTGAGTCTTAAAGCTTTCTCTCAGACCTGCAGAAGACAGGATAGTTTGCAGCCGCTGTTTGAATGAAGTTCTCTATGCTCCTCTTTCTCTTTCAGGAACGCTATGCAGCATCTTCTGAATGCTATGAGAGGTTGTGATCATCTGAGTTTTTGGCATTGCACCCTTGTTTACTACAGGCTGCCAAAAGGTCACCTCAGCGGTTCATAGTTTTCTTTTGGAAACACTGGTGCTAAGTGGTACAGGTATAGGAAGCTATTTTTCTTCTGTAGAAACAAAGAGCAATAGTAATATCTCCGTGGTCATTTATGAGCATTAAGGTATGGAAAAAATTAGACACTTGGCATTCAAATTTCAATTGCTTCTAAGGAGGTTTTTTGGCTTGCCTATTTCAACATCACTTGGTCAGGACTGAGTTTTCATGTCTGTGCTGCTGTAGTTTCTACCTTGCAGAAATGCCTTTGATCAGCATTTTCTTCTTTGGACCCAGGTATATATATATATCATTTATGTTCTCTATCTTACAGAAAATATTTTCTACTATGCACATAGGTATATATATATATAAAATTTCATTTGACATATGTTTAGAGAATCACGATAGAATAGTAACTATATACTTTGTGTTAATCTCTTAATTCAATAAAAGGATGAAATTCTCATGGGTGTCATCCCAGTATTGAATGAATATTTTAAATTAATAAGTTCTTATTCACATGAAATGTATGTGGTTTTATGTGACTAGCATTAGCATTTTGATATTTTATATTTTATATATGACATATGCCAATAGCATATTTTGGAAAATAATAGCATAAGTCAAAAATAAAGTGGAGTATGAAAAATATACTAAGAATGTCAAAGTGAATAACATGTATTTTAGAATTCATATGAAGACTACCAAAGAGAAAAATCAATGTTGTTCCATATAAGCTGGTGAATATTATTTTATTTTAAAGGTGGAATTGATTGCAGTACATCTCTCATTGACAGGAATGGAATACGGGAAATATGTAGGGATTCTAAAATAATGCTAACACTTTCTTTGACAATTTTAATTCTCCACATAGACATCTGTGAGCTAGAAATCATACATCATTTGTAAAGCCATGTGGAAATTGTTGACACCTAGCAATAATTTTGTAAGTTTGGCATTACTTTAACTCCAATGTTGTGACTAAGGTCTGTGGAAACAATTGGGAAGAGATTGAGCCATAGAAATGTTTTTGGTAAAACAAACAAACAAACAAAACAAAAAACAAAGAAACCCACCCGCATCTTGAGGGCTCTACAGAAGGCTTTCTGGGTTAAGAATGCAAGCTGCTCTTACAGAGGACACAATTTCACACTCCAGCACATCCATCTGGCAGCTCACCACTAACTGTAACAGGTCTGTGTACAAAAGCACATGCATTGAAATTAATATTCCCACATAAAGACACAAACACACATGACAAAAACAAGTGAACTTATAGAAATAATTTATTTTTCCATCTGAAAATATGTAAATTCTGACATAAAATATTATATTTGAGTGTTAACAGCATAAATTTTATGTACAATGAAGACAATAGTCCATGTCCATTGTGAAGTGCCATGATATAATACTGATTGACATTCTCCATAACTTGAGAGACTGGCATCCAGAGACATGATCATGGGAATTTTTTTCCTGTCCCAGACTGTGCTGGGAGTGGTGGGGAACTCAGCTCTGCTTTGCTGTTTTATCATCACTGACTTTAATGGGATCAGGACAAAGCCCACAGACAGAATTGTCAAACACCTGACCTGGGCCAATATCATGGTTGTACTCTGCAAAGGAATCCCTCAGACAATGACTGCTTTTGGTCACACATGTTATCTAGATGACATTACATGTAAACTTGTCTTTTATTTGCATAGAGTTTCCAGGGGATTTTCTCTTGGTTCCACATGCCTGTTGAGTGTCTTTCAGGCTATCACTATAAGTCCCATCAATTTCAAGTATGTACATTTCAAGGCCAGAATCCCCAAAATCATTGGTCCTTCCTTGGTCCTGTGCTGGTCCCTGTGTCTACTTGTACATATCTTCATGATCATGACAGTGACTGACATGAGAAATGAAGGAAATCTTACTGAATTTAGACAATTATTGTACTGTACAGCAGTAATTCCTTTCAAACATGTTTACACAGTATATGTGATCATATTGGCCTCCAGTGATGTCATATGTTTGGGTCTCATGATGTGGACAAGTGGCCACATGGTGTTGTTCTTATTTAAGCATAAGCAGAGAGTCCAGTATATTCACAGATCCTTGGCTACTAAATCATTTCATGAGACGAAAGCCACACAAAGTATTGTTATCCTAGTGAGCAGTTTTGTAGCTCTTTATGGAACTTCTTTCATCTTAATGATGTATCTTTCTTTCCAGAGTGAAACAGGTACATGTCTGGTCAATGTCAATGTGGCCATGAGTGCATGCTTCCCAGTACTCTGCCCCTTTCTGCTCACCAGAAACTTTCTTAGGGTTTTTAAGCTCTGCAGTACTTAGAATATATCAAGTATTGTGGCCTTCCCAGCCTTCAGCAGGCTGAACAGACCTTGAGCACTTGCCACTATAGACCTTACCGACCTTGATGGAGTCATCTGCCTTGGTTGCACTTGCCTTAGTGGAGTCATCTGTCTTGGTTGCACATGCAAGTTCCCACAGAAACTTAGAAGAATAGACTGCCTTCTGACTTTGCCTTGCAACATAATCCAGCTGCGACAAAGGATGGGTTCTGTGGGCTTTCCCTATATAAATGTAGTGCTGAATATTAAACTTGGAGCCTTGATCAGAACCTTGTCTTAGATTCATTCTAATATCCCCCTCTCCTCTTTTTCATTTACAACGACCTTTCAGGTAAACCCAGTTTCTCCATGGCCTCTGGGCGATTTCAAAGGGCCATTTTTATTCTTGTATAGTCAGCCCATTAAAACATATACTATACATACTATTCAGTACATAATGTTCACATCAGATCCACAAAGTAGATGTATATCTCCCCATACTCTTGAGTCCAATTACTTTCAATTGTTTCAATTTAGAACATTTTAGAATAAGATAAATTAAATTGGGGGATATATAGCTGGTAATGATTATGAGGATTTAGATGGGTCTAGTTTTCACTCATTTATCTGCTGAATGTATAAACATTAATCAACACTGGCTTCAATCTAGACTGTTAACCTGAGGGAAGAATGTGGTGTCAAAATAACACTGAGGAAATAAACAATTGTAGTGGATGTCCACGAGATTGATGACAATGGGACACACTTATAGTTTACTAGTGTTGGATACCACACAGAATTTAATTTGTGTTGTATTTCTCATGTACTGACAGTTATTTACCAACATTGAGAAATTTCAGTGTGGGATTTGGGATGTCTTTTTTTATATTAATATGAACATCCTGATATCCATGGTTAGAAATGGTGAGAAATCATTAAAACACAAGATATTGTTAATCATAATTATTCATTATTTATGTATCTGAATGTTTTACTTTTGTGTATGTATGTGTACCATGCGCATTTGTCCTATGATAGAATTCAGAATACGGTGGAATATCACATTTAATTTGACTCATGGATGCTTCTGAGCCACTGTGTAGGTGTTGGAAATAAAAATCAATTTCTCAATCACTGATCCCACAATATTTGATTTCTAAATCATATCCTTCCAAATATAAAGTTTATAATAGAATATATATGCAAAATGCATGAATATAGGATTTCAGGCTCTTTGGAAGGAGGTTTTCTTTTATCAGACATGATACAAATTGGCACAACAGAGAAAATAGATAATCATTTCAATGACAATGCTTCTTCATTGAAAAAATTTGGCCAATATGGGATTATCCAGGAAAGTGATTGTTACATCCATACTGACTGTTCAATTTTGAGAGAATTGCTTTGAATTCATTTTTATAACTTTTTGGTAGCTTAAAAACATTTTAGCCATAAATAAGTGTAGTTATAAAGGGGTAGTAAATAAATATAATTTCCAGGAGAATAAAATTACTATTTTAACTAAACACTATATACTCACTTTAATCATAAATGTGAACGTTGAACAGTTATGAGCATCTAGAGTAATCACTACCCACTGGAACATAATCTCCCCTCAAAAAGGTACTCCACAGCAGTACTGCATGACTATAAAATACAATTGCACAGATCATATCTATCAACAGTAGAGCAAATGAATCTTCTCCTGCTTGTTTGGGACTATCTCAAATCCAGTTGGATATGGTTCATGTAATGTCTACTCTGCTTGGTGCACCACTCATCTGGAATTATTGATATTGCACACAGTTTCATCACTACAGAGAAATCCTGGCTTCAATTCTACCAATATGAAAGCCAAATAACAAGAAAGTTAATATGTGCAATAAAATTCCTTAGTCTTTCACACAGGGTTCAGTGTTTATAGAAACATGTCTTGGCATCCTGATCTGCTATGAACACCCATATCTGTCCAAGATGTCTTACTTTTGTAGTATCTGTAGGGCCTCCTTGCTCAATGTAAACAATACCAGAAATTTCACTTAAAAGATCTGTCCTTCGGGTGTTCTTTTTTCCATAGTTTTGGATGCTTTTCAAATTTAATCACCCTGAATACTTTATAATTATAGGCATAGGCTTTTAAGGAAATTTCTTATAATTTTCAGGTTTCTCTCTAGCTCATGCTGCAGCATGTAAGTTTCTCATCAGCTGAGCTACATTCTGTACAGTGGCACGGATGTTAGTCTATGCCTTCTTAACCTCTTCACAATCCGCAATCTTCATTCATTACTCATCCTGCTACTTGATGTTGTAGTACACACAGCCCTCTCTCTGTCCTCTCTCTCTCTCTCTCTCTCTCTCTCTCTCTCTCTCTCTCTCTCTTTATATATGTATATAAATATATGTATTTGTTTATGTGTATATATATATATGCATATATACAAATATACACATACATAGACATATACACACAAATATATATATATATATACATAAACATATATAAATACATACAAATAGACACACATATTCATATATTTATAGATACACATATACATTTATAATTTTGCTATTACATCATTACAAAGCAAGGCTGTGTCTCCCTCTTAAGCTTTACATAGTACCAAGAGAGTTTTTATTATATAATTATCTGCTACAATAGGTGCCTTGCTATTTAAGGCAGGCTCTTGCATAGAAGTGAGTATTTCCCTGCTTCTTCCAGTGACAGACAGCTGGATACTAAAAGGGCATTGAACTAAAAGTACCATCTCCAAACCTGGAATACTCTTTTCACAGAGAGAAACATATATATTATATTCTGAATGGTAAAGTGCTTAGTCCTGTGGTAAACATCCTATTTATCACCTGTACTTTTTCCTCGGTTGCTGCTTCAAGACTTTTGATTGATAGTTGCTTGTGGTTTTAAACCTTTCAAAGGTGACAAGCTCTTATTTGGATTGTTCTCATTTTCCTGTAGAAATCATAGCCTGATACAGATTTCCTTACTCCTTTATAATGCCAATTCATATACACTTTTATAGGGGCAATATTATCTCATAAACATCATGGCCTATTGTGTGAATCTGCAAAGCCACTGAAGTACCCATACACTGTACAAGGTTCCAGTTGAATTAACATCTTTTTTTTTCTACAGTGAACAAAGTTCTATCTAACTCATTGAACTGCTCATCAAATGTCAACTTTTTCATGCCCAGTTTTTCCAGGAATACATTTCCTTTAATGTTTTCCATTCTCTAATATTCATGGGTATCTTGCCACTAATAATCATCAATGTCCCTAATTAAAATTCCTTATATGGTTCAGCCTTTCAGTGACTTATTTCACATGGATTGTCTCCATGCTATAGTGTTTACCCCAAGCAAGGGTGAGGAGTGATGCCACTGTTTCTCACTGATATGAATTTCTCTTTTTTTCAGATGTTAGGGTTCATACTTTGGAGGAATAATCTATGACATATATTTTACTTCCTCTTCTCTGTCTGATTCTCTCAATCTGTTTCAAGATTTTGGCTCTGAACAGAGCCCAATTATCAAAGACTAGAGGTACCTTCTTCCCTTCATATTATTCCTGTTAGATGTCAAGTAAACAGTATTAGTTCTTTATTATTAAAAGTGAAATACCATCCCCTCAATAGCTATGCAACAATCATTGTAGAAGATAATGAAGAAGACAGAAAGTAACAGCTGAGACATTGTTTTTTAAGTGGCATTGTCATTGCACCCTTGAACTCTTAGTAACTATAATCACCTGCATAAGACCTGGGGATGACTGGCCCATTGTGTTATAGGAATGTTTTCATTAGTCAATAGCTTGCCACATAAGCATGAAGATTTGAGTCTTGTTTTCCAAACCCATGTAGAATTTGGATGTGATGATATGGACATGAAATTCCAGTGTTTAGGATGCAGAAATAGTAGTATCTTATTTGGAAAAAAATTAGTCAATGCTACTTCCAGTGAGAGGCTCTGTCTCAAAAGATTAGATGGAGATCAACTGAGGTATACAGTGAATAACAACCTCTAATCGCCATCAACTGTGCACAAATATATACACAGATACAAAGACTGGGTCCCTAATACTTTATCATGGAAAGAGAAGAGTTTTTTGTAGGCCTTCTCTTATGTAAGCATTTATAGGACTTCTGGAATTAACTATTTCTGAAGGAAAGAAAATGAGATAATTTCTTCAGTGTTATAGCTACTAGTAAATTACCCATATTCATGTAAACAACCTCCTAGCCATTCTTGATAAATCAATTTCAACTAATATTATTGGATCCATGAATTAAGAAATTAGTTAATTAATTTGAAGAAATACATATGGGAAGGGTTAGTAAAGAAGGTAGACATTTGGGATAATGGCAAATAGAGTAGAGGGTGCATAACTCTTTCCAAATTATTTTATATACATATATAAAATTATCACAGTAAAGCATCCTTCTGTGTAGAAGTACAATGTAATATTGAAAAATCTAATTAAATTCTAATTTAGTGGCATTTTTCAGGTAACCTTCTTTTTGCTGAAATTATTGCCTATGATGTCGGGTTCCAACTGAGCAGACAGCTAAGCCTAAATTGCTTGTCCTATTATACACAGATACTGTTTACAATGACATCCCTACTCTGATTGTGTACAATGTATCTGGTGTTCTTAAAACATGTTTGAAAATCTTCCTTACTTATAGGATGAGCTCATTTACTCATGATGTGTGCCACTCAACATTTCATCAGTGAGGATGGCAAACTTTTATATATCCTCAAAAGAAACACTGTCTGAAACTGACTGGTCTCTGGTCTAGTTTTTATTACTAAGTAGGGAAAACATAAGTGTGCCTGATACCAAATGGCAAAGAAGGCCACATAACGAATTCCCGAGAGACCCAGTTTACCAGATGTGGTGACTTCCATTCCATTCATGTTTTCAGCTTGAAAATGCACCCTATCATGCATATTCAACTTAGATTCTATTTTGTATCTCTAAAGT